ATAGCTTTTGTCTCGCATATATATATATATATATATATATATATATATATAACTAGACGAACCTTATGGTTGTGCGTCAGTGAAGTATCGGTGCCAACACTGATGTGTCTTTCTTTGATGATGATGATGGTTGTGTAATACTTGAAAGGTGAATGTACTGATCCTTTCACACTGTTCTTCTGGGGTGCGTAGGACTGTCGTGGTTGCTGTCTTTGATGATGATGATGGTTGTGTAATACTTGAAAGGTGAATGTACTGATCCTTTCACACTGTTCTTCTGGGGTGCGTAGCGCGGACTGTCGTGTTGTTCGGACGTCTTTTGAGTAGAATATTTAGAAAAAAAACTTGAGCCATCGTTTGACTGTTGCTCGTAGAACATTTGTTTGAGTATAATTAGAGAAAAAACTAAAATACTCTTCATTGACGAAATATGCCTGGCATGTGAAGCCATATTTGACAGGAAAGGGCAAAAATGATCTATTCGCTCAACGTTTCATTGTCAGCTACCATACAGGTCAACCGTTTAGGTGTGGAAACTCGTTCAGCTGTGACACCTTTTTGGTGCCTAGCTGTCATGCTACCCAAAGGAAGCACAAGGGCTTAGATGCTATCAGGTTTCCGAAGCCTAGACAGGAGCAATCGAGATGATGAGTTTGGGTTCGAATAACGGACCTTCAGGTCAGTAACGTCACAACTCAGCTTAACTTAACTTAACTTAACTGAGCTATCTCGAACTCAGTTTTTATGGTGAGGTTTGCAACTCGCACAGGTAAACTTCACGGTTCCCAATTCAAGTAATTCACTCTTCCCCTTTTTTTAATGCACACTGACGTATCAACGTTCTATTTACCTAGTTATGACTGCCTAGAACACGCGGCGGTCATATGCTGAATACTTACGTGGTAGATTGTGCCACAGCAAATTCCATTTAGAGACATATTGTCCCGTTACTGCTGAGCCGGCACAATCTGCCTTTTGATGAATTTTACGCAGCTCAGCAGTGAGAAAATCGATAAGTTACGTTTCAACTTCCTCAGTCAATTCATATTGATGTCTAAGAAATTGTCGGGTTAATACTAAACCGTCAAAATGTGTGAGTTTTTCATGTATATGCGTCCCAATCTTGGACGAAACCCAAATCAATTTGGTTTTGACAGCAGATTAAACTGAATCCAGCTGAATCTATCGTTTGTGATGTTCCTAATCAAATTAATTTGCTGCACCAGATCGTATAGTATTCCACTTAGTACGAGATATCCTAGCACATTGTACAGACGTAATACGCTACTCACAAGTTTGCTGAAAACCCTCCGACAGCCCTCGACTGGTTCGGCCCTGCTTGAGTCTCATCTTTTTCGTGAAGTCGTTGAGTTCTTGTCCATCTTATGTTCTACTTGAACCCAAATTAGACAGACTTCGCATACTAATTTGCTTCGGTTGGAACGGGAGGCTCTAGTCAACTGAACCCAGTTGAACATCTTGTTTGTACTTGTCTCCCTCAACTGAATATGCCGCACCAGGCCGCCTCCCGTTTCTGTTCGTATCCTATTTGAGATATCGCAGTAGGTTTTTGTCAAGAAGTACCTGGTTGTGTGCTGTCAAAGAATTTTCAGCAAAATTACATCTATTTCAACCAAGCTTCTTTTTACCTCGTTTGGATTCACACACTCCACCATCGGATTTGTTTTCGTATAAAAAAGTTGACATTCTGTCTGATACGGCGAATGCGACTGAAAGCTGTTGGGCTAACTGAAAGATGAATTAACGGAAATGTATTCGATTAGAATGAAGCAAATTGGTAGATGGAACAGATACCAATCTCGTGGGCGTGACAGCCACTGAGGAAAAGGGGACATTTGCAAAATAATTTCTCTTTGACTGAGTCATCTTTGGAAAACCCTGTGAGCGAGTCTCCAGCCCAGTGTCCTTCCCAACTCTGGTCACAATATACAGTCAAACGTATACGGCAACGAAGTCTCAGTTTTGTCATGCTGTCAATTGGGCCGATTATAATGATGATGATGCAGACAAACGCTTTCACTGACGCTTTTCCGTAAATAAAGACTAAAATACCTTCGTCAGATACCCTCATTCGCAACCTAATTCGGTTGAAGGTTGTACCTATCTTAGCAAGCTTATAAGTAGTATTCTTTCAAGAAAACCAACGAAAACACTCCAAGAATGGCGAAACCAATCGTGGGTTGTCGAGGAATTTTCAGCAGCCTTATGAGTAGTGGATTACGTCTATACATGTATCGCGACATCTTGAATATCTCTTAACCACTTCTGCTGGATTTATCTTCAATGGGACTGAGTCGCTACACATATACGGGCGTGTCTATCCATTCCCTTCTAATCGTATGTTCGGTAATCCAGTCACGTGTACATCAAGTCGTTTCTCGCCGACTTCGAACTGCACAGGTATCCTA